AGAGAGAGAGAGAAGAGAGAGAGAGAGAGAGAGAGAGGAGAGAGAGAGAGAGAGAGAGAGAAGAGAGAGAGAGAGAGAGAGAGAGAGGAGAGAGAGAGAGAGAGAGAGAGAGAGAGAGAGAGAGAGAGAGGAGAGAGAGAGAGAGAGAGAGAGAGAGAGAGAGAGAGGAGAGAGAGAGAGAGAGAGAGAGAGAGAGAGAGAGAGAGAGAGAGAGAGGAGAGAGAGAGAGAGGAGAGAGAGAGAGAGAGAGAGAGAGGAGAGAGAGAGAGAGAGAAGAGAGAGAGAGAGAGAGAGAGAGAGAGAGAGAGAGAGAGAGAGAGAGAGAGAGAGAGAGAGAGAGAGAGAGAGAGAGAGAGAGAGAGAGAGAGAGAGAGAGAGAGAGAGAGAGAGAAGAGAGAGAGAGAGAGAGAGAGAGAGAGAGAGAGAGAGAGAGAGAGAGAGAGAGAGAGAGAGAGAGAGAGAGAGAGAGAGAGAGAGAGAGAGAGAGAGAGAGAGAGAGAGAGAAGAGAGAGAAGAGAGAGAGAGAGAGAGGAGAGAGAGAAGAGAGAGAGAAGAGGAGAGAGAGAGAGAGAGGAGAGAGAGAGAGAGAGAGAGAGAGAGAGAAGAGAGAGAGAGAGGAGAGAGAGAGAGAAGAGAGAGAGAAGAGAGAGAAGAGAAGAGGAGAGAGAGAGGAGAGAGGAAGAGGAGAGAGAGGAAGAGAGAGAGGGGGAGAGGAGGAGAGGAGGAGAGAGGAGAAGAGAGAAAGAGAAGAGGAGGAGGAGAAAAGGAGGAGAAGAGGAGAGGAAGAGGAAAGAGAAGAAGAGGAGAAGAGAGAAAGAAAGGAGTGAGAGAGAGAGAGAAAGGGAGGAGGAGAGAAACAGGAGGAGGAGGAGGAGGAGGAGGTGTTTACAGATTCTGTCTTAAGTAGTTTTCACTTTAATTCTTTTGTTTAGAGTTTCAGAGTTTCATCAAATTAACTCTAGAGAGTTTTTCATTTAAATTAACTCTAGGGTGTTTTTTATTTTATTTTAAATTAACTCTAGACAGAGTTTTTTATGTTCCGTGTTCAGTTTTGATTCAGATTAAACTCAAATATTTATTTATTGACACATTTTTACTGAATTTTCACGTGAAGAGAAACGTCACAGTTCATCTGCACCAGAAACAACATCAAATCAAATAAAATCAAATAAACAAATAAACGTCCTGTTCTCCGTCTCTCGTCTGTCGTGTCTCCGGGGCGTCGGAGCAGATCTGTGGAGCGGCCGCCTCCAGATCAGAGACACAAACGTTTGGTCTGCTCCCTGGTCTCGGTCTTTTTTTGTGCATGTTTTGTTTCATTAAACGCTCCATAAATAAAAGTTAAATGTCCATCTGACGTAAAATAACTTTTTTCACATTGTTTCTTCTGCACAGTTTGGGTTTTGGAACATCCATTACACAATAGTTCTGAAATCTTACGCTGACTATTGCTCCTCCCCCCGCCCTCCTGAGAAAGCACAGGCTCCGCCCTCCAAACGTGACGTAGACTCTGAGTGAGCCGCCCTTCCTCCGCCATCTCAGGGAGGGAGGGGGGAGACACACGACACCCTGATAGAGAGCCCTGATAGAGGCTTTTTTTATTCATCATGGAGATACAGCGCGTTCAGCCGCATGTGTTGGACCCGGAATCGGACGAGGACTTTGAGGAGCACGAAGCTCAAGCACCGCGTCCACATCAGCTGAACATTACTGATCGGTAAAGTTATTAATAAACACTAGTAATGGGGGTTAGCATTTGATTACATTTTCTTAATCGATCATTGGAAGACTTAACAACTGATTATCGATTAATCATTAACGTTTTTTAAAATGATCATCATTATTATTACTATCTGCACTAATCTGCATAAATAAATTCAACTTTACGACATATAAACATAACGACTCTAGATCCACATCAGCTGTTTGACATTATAATGTGTTTAATTCAGATTTGTGCAAGTCTCACAGAAACAAAACTTAAAACCACATGGCTCATTTGCATAAACTAAGCGAAGGAAAAAAAAAAAAAAAAAACAGCTCTTGCGGCTCGATAGATAAAGAGGGAGCCTCGTTTTCTATTGGCTGATGTTTATCTGGCTTCACTACGTCCACAGTTGATAGATTTTCATTCTTTTTGTTTTTTTTGGTCATGATAATTACAAAGCTGCTGCGTCTCTGTAATAATATTTTAAACTTTCACTGACAATTTGAAACTAAAATAAAATCCTCCATACAACCTTTAATCGACTAATCATGCCCATCGTTAACTAGTAGATCAACTTATTATATCGTGTTCACTGCAGAGTAGAACAATGAGCTTCTGCTGTCGCTTTTGTTTAGGTTCATGTGGGAATTGTCAGACGATGCGGGTGGAGGTGGAGGCGGTGGAGGCGGTGAAGCGTTTTCTGCTCCGTCAAACGCGTCACAGGCGAATCTGCCGCGTCATCGTTGTAGCAGCTTCAGTTCGTCGTCACGTGGGAGGCAGAAATACACTGCAATTTGTTTAAAAAAAAAAAGCCGAATCAATCTAAAAAAAACACTTGGGCAACAAATACAAGGCCCACGCTTCAATATTAGAAGGTAGAAAACTCTGAAAAGTAGATTTTGCACGAGATGGGCCCTTTAGTATAAATGTTACACAGTGCGGCTTTAAACAGAGACGTTCGTTCGTTCGTTCGTAAAAACGTGTCGAGAGGAAAAACACAAACCACGACTGTTTTTGGTTTTAGTGATTTTATTTTATTCATTCATTCAAAATCAAAACATCCGATTATTCCAGTTCTTCTGAGCCTCGGGTCTCTCCTCCTCCTCCTCTCCTCTTTTCCTCTTTCCCTCTCTCCTCTTTTCCTCCTCCTCTTTCCCTCTCTCTGCTCAGGTAATATTTATCATAAAAATCAGACTCGAGCGCTCATAGGTTACATTTGCATAATCATAAACCAGGATCAGTCATTCACAAAAATCACTAAAATGTGTCAGAGGTCCAGAAAAAACAGGAAAAAACAGGAAAAACGGGAAAAAAACTGGATAAAACGGGAATGACGCTCGGATCATTCGTACAAAAACATGGATCTGTGGGTTTGAGTTCATGCAGCTGCAGGTCGTGTTCCGGCGTAAAAACTGGACTCGGGGAAATAAAGATGGAGCGGGACCTGGACCTGGACCTGGACTTGGGTCTGGACCTGGTCTGGGTCCGGGTCTGGACAGATCCGTGTTTAAGGCATCGGAGCGTGTTGAAACTCAGCTCTCAGAGACACTGAAACTACTCAGGTTTTTACGTTTTTTAAATTAATTTTTTTCATTATTTCTGAGTAAATGTGACAAAGTTTTCTCAGCGTTCGGCTCCAAATGAAGCTCATCGAGGCCAGCGGTTATCACGTCATCCTTTTTAGATTTTTAGATAAATTTTTTAGATTATTTTTGCGTAAATGTGACAAATTAAATAAAATAATCAAGTTTTTATGTTATTTAGATTAATTTTTTTGATTATTTTTGTGTAAATGTGACAAACTAAATAAAATAATCACGTTTTTATATTATTTATATTATTTTTTTTATATTTTGCGTAAATGTGACAAATTAAATAAACGGTTTGGACGTAGCGTGAGTAAAGAAGTTTTCTCAGGGTTTGGCTCCAAATGAAGCTCACTGAAGCCAGCGGTTATCGCGCTGAATCTGGGGTTCGGTTCCATATTTGGATTTGTGGCTCCGAGTGCCATAGCAACCGAAGAGCCAATCAGAAGAGAGACTGTGAGGCGCTTAGCAACACTGTCGATCAAGCCCGTTGCTAAGGCCGTATATAGATGCATCATGAAAGAAGGAAACCTTTGACGGCCTAAGAAATGATCTCGAGTTTGCAGAGAACATTTTGTATGTGGAGGCTTTTTCAATAGAAACTGAAGTGGAGCCAGAGTCGATGGAGCCGAGTCACGCCCGTGTTCACTTCCTGTTTGGAGCTCTGTCCAAAGAAATGCTCGACGTTAAAGACCAGATGGACTTTAGAATTAATTTAGAAGCGTCTCTGACTCTGAGCTCTGATTGGTCCTTTGTCACTGAAGTCCCGCCTCTGAGAGCTGAGTTTAAGAGCGATGGGGGCGGAGCCTAAACTCTGCTCCAATCAGATTTCGTTTTGTGTTTGAAGTGTTTTTACTTTCTGATGTTTCACCTCAGCCCCGCACACTCTGGGTCTGAGTCTGAGGTCTGGGCTCTGTTCCAGTCCCTGGTCTAGTCCCTGGTCTAGTCCCTGGTCTAGTCCCTGGTCTAGTCCCTGGTCTGGTCCCTGGTCTGGTCCCTGGTCTGGTCCCTGGTTTAGTCCCTAGTCTGGTTTTGGTCTCTGGTCTGGTTTTTGGTCTCTGTTCAGATCCCAAGTCTGGTTTCTGTTCCAGTCTCTGATCTAGTCCCTGGTCTGGTCTGGTCTCTGGTCTAGTCCCTGTTCTGGTCTCTCTTACGGTCCCTCGTTTAGTCCCTGGTCTGGTCTCTGTTCCAGTCTCTGCTCTGGTCTCTGTTTTTGGTCTCTGCTCTGGTCCCTGGTGTCCCTGGTCTGGTCCCCAGTCTCTTTTCTGGTCCCTAGTTTAGTCTCTGGTCTGGTCCCTGGTCTAGTCCCCGTTCTGGTCTCTATTTTTGGTCACTCTTCTGGTCTCTGGCCTGTTGCGTGGTACCTGGCCTGGTCCCTGGTCTGGTCTCTTTTCTGGTCTCTGTTCCGGTCCCTGGTTTGGTCTCTGGTCTTGTCCTTGGTTTAGTCCCAGGTCTTGTCTCTGTTCTAGACCCTGGTCTGGTCTCTGGTCTGGTCTCTGGTCTAGTCCCTGGTCTGGTCTCTGGTCTAGTCCGTAGCCTGGTCCCTAGTCTGGTCTCTGTTCCAGCCCCTGGTCTGGTCCATGATCCCTGGGGTCCCTGGTCTGGTCCCTGGTTTAGTCCCAGGTCTTGTGTCTGGTCTGGTCCCTGTTCTGGTCTCTTTTTTTGGTCTCTTTCCTGATCTCTGGTCTGTTTTTTGGTCCCTGGTCTGGTCCCTGGTCTGGTCCTCGGTTTAGTCCCTGGTCTGGTCCTTGGTCTCTTGTTTTGGTCTCTTTTCTGGTCTCTGGCCTCTTCCATGGTCCCTGGTCTGGTCTCTGGTCTGGTCCCTGGTCTGGTCTCTTTTCTGGTCTCTGATCAGGTCCCTGGTCTGGTCTCTGTCGCAGCCCCTGGTCTGGTCCCTGGTTGAGTCCCAGGTCTAGTCCCTGTTCTGGTCTGTTTTTTCTGGTCTCTGGTCTGGTCCTTGGTTTAGTCCCTGGTCTGGTCCCTGTTCTGGTTTTTGGTCTCTGGTCCTAAAACCTCAGAATGTGGAGGGATGAGTTGGTCCATTTAAAGCCTTTGTAGTAGTATAAGTAGTAGTAGTGATAGTACTTGTAGTAGTAGTACTTGTATTTGTAGTACTTGTAGTAGAAGATGCCTTGACAGTTTGGGACCTACAGTTCAGGTTTTGGTGTGTTAGTGTTTACAGAATTTACTACTGCTACTACTCACAATGTAGTGTAGTATTATTTGCAGTACTCGTAGTAGCAGTAGTAGTAATCGTAGTATTCGTAGTATTTAGGGCTGCAGGAGCACGAAGAAAAAATAAAATAAAAACTTTCTGAAATTCTTGTATCAGTTTGTCAGTTCAGATTTCAGTCTTTCGGTAAATTCTTAAAACACAAATATTTTTAGATTTAGATATTTTCCGTAATCGTGCAGCCCTAGTTGTAGTGTGTAGTAGTAGTAGTAGTAGTAGTAGTAGTAGTAGTAGTAGTAGTAGTAGTAGTAGTGTTTAAACGGGCGTAGTGTTGGAAGCCTGAGCTGCCTGAGGATTCGAGGGGAAAACTCAGAAGTTTTCATTAAACGCGAGGTGGAAGTTCGGACGATCCCAGAGTCCTTTTTTTTTAAGACTGGACGGCTCCGGTCGGGTTCGGACCCCAGAACCTCTCCGAGTCCGAGTCCGAGTCCGAGTCTCTGCTTGGGTCCAGACTCAGACCGGCGCCCGGTTTAAGTCCCGGTTTAGTGAAAAACGGACGCCACGTGGGCCTCAGCAGCAGACGACGTGTTTCTAGAGTCCTGTTGAGGTTTTTGTAGTAGTGTGTATTCCTCTGTAGTAGTAGTAGTAGTAGTACTTGTAGTAGTTGTAGTAGTACTTAGGGATGTCCCGATCCAATACTAGTATTTTCGGCGACATTTTAGCAGATTATCTTGGATCAGATCGTGTGAAAAGACGCAGAGACGCAGGTTTCAAACTCTTTCTCGCTGACAAAATTTCAAAACTTTTCCATGACTTTTCCATGAGCTTAAGTGAATTTTCCATGACTGATCAGACTTTTAAGGCTAAATCTGAAATGTGAACTCTTTCCACTCACCTTATGGTTTGGGTTTATAGTTTTTGAACATTAAAAAAAAAAAAAAAATCACAACAGTCTCACGAGAACTTAACAGAACGCTGGAGTTGTGTGAAAGGGAAACTAAAATTCCAAAACTTTCATTGAATTTGCAAAATTCCATGACTTTTTCAGGCCTGAAAAATTATATTTTCAATTTTCATGACTTTTCCAGGATTTCCATGACCGTGGGAACCCTGAACACACGACTGCCTCTGCAAAACCTGCTGCAAACGCCCACAGCAGCTTCAACTAGAGACAACGAGCTCTGTTCATACGGAATCAACTTTGAGTCAAATTGTTCAAAAACATCAAGCAAAAAAGTATAAATCGATAAAATCTCCATCTTTGCCTCTTTATTTTTGTTCCGTGTCTTTCTCACTTTAGTTTGACGCCGTTTTCTTCGGTTCCTGATTCTCGTTTGACTTTTTCGTGACCGTTTTGGCCCAGTCGTGACAGGTGGGCGGGGTTTCCGTCGGTGCGTTCCCATTGGCTCATTTACGTTTGACGGACAGCCGAGCCTGGAGCTTCCTGTTGAGTTTTTCTAATATTCAGCGTTTTCTTCTGGAACAAGGGTCTCCAACCTGTAACTCTGGAGCCAAGGGATTTCTGAATTCCACGTATTTTGCTGAATAATTCAAATTGAATCGATTAAACGCCTCTTACCGTTGTAAATGTATAATTGTGATGCCTTTGTGCACTAATGAAACAGATAATGGTTTATGTTTTATAGACGTCCATCTCTTCTCTAAGACCGTGGTTATTATATTTACTCAGTTTCTCGTGCCTGCCAAAAAGAGCAGCTCTCTGGCATTTTTGTCTTGTAAAAGTAAAAAAAAAAAACGTCGAGGAAAAAGGAAGAAAAAGGCTGGAGACCCCTGTTCTGGAACAACTTTACTCTACACGGTGTAAATTCTGGATAAAGTTGTTTCAGTCGCCAAAAACTTCAAGAGGAAACATCCACAACAGCTTCGGGAGTTCTAATCTCAGCTGTCCGTCAAACATAAATGAGCCAATGGGAACGCGCCTACTGAAACCCCGCCCACATTTCCACGTTTGTGCCAAAACTCCACCAAAAAGTCCGAAAGCACAAACGAGAAAACTGAAATCAGAACCAAAGAAAACGTTTCCAAAGAGGCAAAGACACATTTAGATTTTTTAAAAGTTGCTATTTTGATTTATACTTTTTAACTTGATGTTTTAAAAGCGTTTTTTGATTTATTTGACTCAAAATTTATTCCATAAATTCACACAAAACCTTGAGACGTTTGGAAACATGCGGATAACGACTTCCTCTGGGCTCTGCTGGCGACAGGAACTCTGAGAAAATCTGAGAAAACTGAAAAAAGCCCAGTTTTCTTCATCTACATGTCACTGTGTTCTTTCTTTTTTTCTTTTATACATTTTTTGTGGATAAAAATGATTCGCCGACAAAAATAATCTCCAAAAAAATCACCCGAATCACGACTTATCCTCGATGTTTTCTTCTAGATCCTTGTTGGTTTTTTCGTCGTAAATAAAATCATAAAAAGTTAGACGCTCGTAACGGGACGAGATCAGCTTCGGAATCGCAAATATTTTTAAGAATCGGTATCAGATCGGGACGTCCCTGCTGTGGCGGTGGAGTCAGGACTTGAACACAGACTGCAGTTCTGCCCGGCGCAGGTGGACCTCTTCTGGAGTAGTAGTAGTAGTAGTAGCTGTAGTACTTGTAGTAGTAGTAGTAGTAGTGGTCGTACTATTTGAAGGCGGACTGGAGCATGGCGGTGGCGTAGGTGGGCCTGGCTTGCCGGTTCTCGATGGCGCTCCTCAGATAATCTTTGCCGCCGCAGCGTTCCCAGATTTCCTCGAACTGCCGGGGCAGGATCTCGGCTCCTCGTTTTCGGGACAGGCCGGTCTCCTCCAGGCTCAGCTCGCACATCTCCATGTCGTCTTTGCCTGAAGGAGAAACAAAAACCCATGAACGACGTTTCTGGGATCTGACCTAAAGCTGTGAAGTTCATCGAAGTCTGATCGCGATTTCCGTTTTTGTGCGTTCAACGATTTTCAAACTCATATGATCGAGTTGAAACGATTTAGGAGCCGTGCTGGGAAGTTTACTTTTAAAATGTAATCCCCTACAGATTACAGATTACAGATTACTCACACCAAAATGTAGTTTGTAACAGAATCCATTAAATTACTTAAAGTGAGTAATGTAATCTGATTACTTTGGATTATTTGATTTGCTGTAGAGAAACAAAGACGAGGAAATCTGAACATAAGAAGTTTTATCTGATAAAAGAAAATAAAAAGTTCAGACTTTAACCGTATTAAAAATATTATTGATAGAAAATGAGACACGTCCACACAGCAGGATTTAGTCCTGTTAAATCCTGGTTTAGTCCTGGTTTTAGTCCTGGTTTAGACCTGGTTTAGTCCTGGTTTTAGTCCTGGTTTAGACCTGGTTTTAGTCCTGGTTTAGTCCTGGTTTAGACCTGGTTTAGTCCTGGTTTTAGTCCTGGTTTAGTCCTGTTTAGTCCTGGTTTAGATCTAGTGTAGTCCTGGTTTAGACCTGGTTTAGTCCTGGTTTAGTCTGGTTTAGTCCTGGTTTTAGTCCTGGTTTTAGTCCTGGTTTTAGTCCTGGTTTAGTCCTGGTTTTAGTCCTGGTTTAGTCCTGGTTTTAGTCCTGGTTTAGTTCTGGTTTAGTCCTGGTTTTTAGTCCTGGTTTATTCCTAGTTTAGACCTGGTTTAGTCCTGGTTTTAGTCCTGGTTTAGATCTAGTTTAGTCCTGGTTTAGACCTGGTTTTAGTCCTGGTTTAGTCCTGGTTTTAGTCCTGGTTTAGTCCTGGTTTAGTCCTGGTTTTAGTCCTGGTTTAGTCCTGGTTTAGTCCTGGTTTTAGTTCTAGTTTAGTCCTGGTTTAGACCTGGTTTTAGTCCTGGTTTAGTCCTGGTTTTAGTCCTGGTTTAGTCCTGGTTTAGTCCTGGTTTAGACCTGGTTTTAGTCCTGGTTTTAGTCCTGGTTTAGTTCTGGTTTAGTCCTGGTTAGTCCTGGTTTTAGTCCTGGTTTAGTTCTGGTTTAGTCCTGGTTTAGTCCTGGTTTTAGTCCTGGTTTAGACCTGGTTTAGACCTGGTTTTAGTCCTGGTTTAGACCTGGTTTAGTCCTGGTTTAGACCTGGTTTTAGTCCTGGTTTAGACCTGGTTTAGTTCTGGTTTAGTTTGCGGCAATGAGTGGAATTACTGAGAAAAAAAAAAAAAAAGGATTTAGCCCAAAATGTGAAAACAGTAAAATCCCTCTGTTTAATCCATTTACTTCAACAAAGTAACTGTAATCCAATTCCCACTCACTGAAACAGTAACTGTAACTGAATACAGTTACTCATCATTTGTACTCTGATTACTCTGGTACTTGTAATCTGTTACTCCCTGACGCTGTTTACGAGTCGGTGAAAGTGAGGACCGTCCTTTTTATGAGGATTCATGTGGAGCCTACAGAGGTGCAACGATATCGAAGTGTCACGGAACGATATCGTCACCGTCTGAACCTCACGGTACGATATTTATTCTGATATTTATTCTGATATTTATTGCTGATAAAGTTCATGGTGCAAAGTCTCACGATTAGGGATGTAACAATATCCAAATCTCTGTACGATATTTTCACAATAAACATCTCACTGTACGATATTTATTGCGATATTTTGTGGAGGTGAACAAAACTGTTAATATTCTTCTTTTTCCTCTTAAAACACCTTGACAAGATTTAATCCAAAGAACTAAGAGTTAAAAGTGTTGGAACTGTTATTTCTTCTTGTCGTCTGCACTGAAATGGAGCAAAGGATCATGGGAAATGTAGTTCCTCTGTGTTTTTTTTTAGCTTTTTTGCTGCATTTAATTTAAACAAAGACACTTGTAATTCGATATATTGTGATGGTCCATGATATTATTGTGAGAACTTTGACGATACGATATCACGATATTTCGGTTACTGTTACATCTCCAGGTGCCTATGATCTATGATACTGAGCGTCATCATATCGTATCGTTTCATAATTCAAATCTGCCTCACTTTTTAATAGATTTTTCTGCCGCTGGATTTATTTTCTTTACCCAGGTTGGTGCCACCAGTTTCATTTCTCTCCAGTGACTAGTTCAGGAATCAGAATACACTAGACGATTTACAAGAACCTCAGAAGCTGTAGACGTCAAACTCGTGGCGTCTGCCTCAGGTCCCCAGGTTCCAAAATGGCCGCCAATTCAAGTCAATGAGTCAACGTCTCATGATCCCAGATTCTCCTTTGGCCCGGTGAGGTTCTTCCGGTGTCTGTGGGCCGACTGAGCATGTGCAGTAGAGTCTTTTCTCCCGCGGGCACACGAGAACGCACACACGGAGCGCAGACTCGTGTATCACATGACCGATTTGACCAATCAGAGCGAGAGGAGCTAGAGCGGAGCGAAACTAACGATTATAAAGAGTTTTTTAAGACAACTGAAGGATTTTGAGCTGAGAAAAATGATTTTATGATCTAAAAATAGGTAAAAATCGCCACTAAATATGAAATTTTTGAAAGTTGTAGGCCCCTGTCAGTCGAACAGGAGCAGTTTGTGATCACATTGAGCTTTATGAGAAAAATCTCTTTCAGCTCATGGGATTTTTTCTGCTGTAGAATCAGTGAGTTTCACTACGACAACTGGAGGCAGAAACAAGCACCAACATCCTCCACTTATTTTAACACATCGATGGTCTGTCTGTGTCCCTTTTGTGGAAGAGCACAACAGTAAACAAAGTGTCGACAAAAACAGACATTCTGTATTGACAACGATTCCTCAGATCCCAGAGGATTTTCACTCTCTTTGTTTCTGTTGTACCGGCAATTCCTTGGACGACACTAAGGCTCCGTTCAGACTGCAGGGTTTAACGCATTCAATACGGATTTTTTTGTGAAATCCGATGTTTTTTTCGAGCTCGTTCACATTTCCAGTTAAATGTGACTTGTATGTGACTCCAGTGTGAACATTAAACGGTCCAAAAGTGTCCCACATGTGACACTGGAGACACGACGACGTCAACCGCAGCGAGCGTCTCTGTGTTTACACAAGTTGAACAAACATGGACGCAGCATCGAGCACCTGGAGATTTTAAAGTTCCTCTCGTACCGGAGCCACAACATGAACAACTGACTTGTTTTAAGGAGGAGATTGAGAAGGAGAAGGACCAGGTTTTTGGTGGTGGTGTTTTGTGGTGAGTGGAGATGTGCTTCGAGTTCATGAACAATTTTCTCCTACTTCAGTGCAGAATAGTGACGTTTGTGTCTTGTTGATGACGTGTAGGTGGATGAATGTGACCTGACCGTTCACACTCAAGTCACATGTTAAAGATCAGATATGGATCAGTTTCAGGAGCACAGATCCAAGTGTCCTGGGTCATGTTTGAAAAAATCAGATCTGTGTGGTTCAGACTGACAATAAAAGATCAGATACAGGAACATAGAGACAAAAATCAGATTTGGGTCACTTCAGGTGCAGATCTGAACATAGTCTTGGATACGTCACGACCAAACAGCAGCGATTGGTTAAATAAAAAAAGTTCCCGCCTACTGTCGAGCGAACGAATCCTAACGCTGCGAGGTCACACGGTTTCTACCGAGTGAAACAGTCTGATGAATCAGACGATATTTTCTCGGCTAAAGCGTTCGCTCTGCTGACACGTGTAAACAAACGGTGTTGTGTGATGACGTCGTCGTGGTTCGGTTCAGTTTGTGCAGGTGTGAGAGCGGAACACAGAACCCACAACAATCAGCACGGTTCTAAAGTCTTAAGGTTCGTTCACACCAAAGCGTCAAAGTGTCCAGTTTCTATGTAAAGTCGATGTGGACGCGCGACTAGAGCGTCCTGCGTTTTTGCGGCGCGTTTTCGGCCGTCAGCGCTGCTGCGAATCTGGCGTCGGCGTGTCTTGAGTGTTTTCACGTCGACGGTCTAGACGCGCGTCCAAAGAAGTTGAAAATGCTGAACTTTTCGCATCAGACGTTATTATCAGGAAAAAAAACCAAGAATCGGAACCACAAACATGAACGGAGCATGAATATGTACACCACAAACACCGAGCCGATCACGAGGACTAAACCAGGACTACACCAGGACTAAAGCAGGACTAAGACCGGGACTAAACCAGGACTGATCCAGTGTCATTAGTGGAGTATAAATATAAACTCGCTCCAGTCGTCGAGTCGATTTCCTCCGCTGATGTTTTATGTGATAAAAACACTAAAGTCTCTCAGTCTGGTCTGACATTGTTTCAGGAAAAGACCGGGACCGGGCTCTTGTTTCCAGGGCAACGGACGCACGTCAGGTATTTTTGTCCCGTTCGTCCACGACGTCAAAGACACGAGCGTCGGGGCGTCTGAACTCAAATACAAAGGACTCCAAATACAAACGTCAAGGTGTTTTTTGATGTTTTGGTGTGAACGGCCGTTTAGTGAGAGTCGCTCTAAGGTTTATTTGGGGATATTTTTTATATAAACAAGTATATTTATTTTATTTAGATATTTATTTTCATATAGAGTTTGTAGAACAGTTGGATATACAGTCTATTTCGGATACATTTACATTTTTCTGCGCCTTATTTTAAAATATAAAAACTCAAATCTATCAGAAAATGATTTAAAAGTAGTGAAACTATCAGTCCATGCAGCAAAACCATTTTACTTGACAAATTCTATTAAAATAAACTTCCTCCAGACTAGAATTAAGCGTCTCTGGTCCAGTAAGTCGATAATAAATCTGAAAACAAGATGAATAACCTGATAAAAGTTTTTAAATCTTGGTCAGATCAGAGAAATTCGCAGCGTTTGCTCTTAAACTTGTTCTGATCCAGCTCCAGATCTTTCTAAACACATTCTAAAAGTTCTGTTCTGTCCTGACAAACGGACTTTTTTAGTATCGACACCTGCGAAAAATGAGGATCTAGTTTCGATATTAGTTTTTGTATCGATTAGTGTCTGATTTTTTTAATACTTTTGAAATTCCCTCTTTAAATCTGATGTTCTGAATCTTTCCTGAGGCTCTAACGGGAAATCTGATGGATAATCCCCAGTGTCGTCGTTTCATTGAACAAAAGTCTAAAATCCGACTGATGCATTAGCTCAGGGTCACATGTCAGGATCGACCAATCACGAGTCAGGAGGCAGCCCCCTGGACTAAAGCATCGATCTGATTGGCTCTTTCCCACTCATGGGTTTTAGTGAAAGGACAAACGAGGACTTGAACCGACCGAGACTAAAGTACTGCACAAAAACATGTACAAAATACTACTTTCCACACTGGTTTGGAAGTCCTGGTTCAGTCCTGGTTCAGTCCTGGTTCAGTCCTGGTTCAGTCCTGGTTCAGTCCTGCTTTATTCCTGGTCCTGTTCTAGTCCTGGTCCAGTCCTGGTCCTGGTCTAGTCCTGATTTAGGCCTGGTTCAGTGGTATAGTTTCGTCCTGGGTCAGAGGTCTAATGGTCCTGCTTTAATCCTGGTCCTGGTCTAATCCTGGTCCCGTCCTAGTTCAGTCCTATTCCTGGTCCAGTCCTGGTCCTGGTCTAGTCCTGATTTAAGCCTTGTTCAGTGGTTTAGTTTCATCCTGGGTCAGAGGTCTAGTAGTCCTGCTTTAATCCTGGTCCAGTCCTAGTCCTGGTAGGTCGTGGTCCAGTCCCGGTCCTGGTCCCAGTCCTGGTCCCGGTCCTGGAGCAGGTCTAGTCCTGATTTAGTCCTGGGTCAGAGGTCTAGTAGTCCTGCTTTAATCCTGGTCCAGTCATAGTCCTGGTGGAGTCCTGGTCCAGTCCTCGACCTGGTACTGGTCTAGTCCTGATTTAAACCTGGTTCAGTGAATTAGTCCTGGGTCAGAGGTCTAGTATTCCTGCTTTAATCCTGGTCCTGGTCCAGTCCGGGTCTAGTTGTGGTCCAGTCCTGGTCCAGTCCGGGTCCAGTCCGGGTCCTGACCTGCCACCAGTAGTATGGGTTGCTTGTCGGGGTGCAGTTCCATCTGGCGAGCGATCCAGGGCCCGTCGAAGTGCGCGTACCACCAGCCCTTCTTCTTCCCGCTCGGGTCCTTGAACTGGTCCCCGGGCCGGATGAACGGGATCCGGAAAAACCGCTGCTGCCGGTTCAACGCCGCCTCCAGCTGCCGCGGCGGGATGGGCGGGGCCTGCTGCAGCGCTGTGATTGGACGAGAGGCGGGGAGAGGAGTGAGAGGACACGCCCGTACAGAGAGGACAGCCAATCAGAGCGGAGCGAGAGGGGAGAGGACCAACCAGGACGAGAGCGACAACAGCGAGTCACACGCCCTCACACACCACGGTTACATGAACTTTTTAATTACGAATAACTGTATTTTTGGAGCACAAGTCGCACCAGAGCGTAAGTCGCACCAGAGCGTAGGTCGCACCAGAGCGTAGGTCGCACCAGAACATAAGTTGCACCAGAACATAAGTCGCACCAGAGCATAAGTCGCACCAGAGCATAAGTCGCACCAGAGCATAAGTCGCACTAGAGCATAAGTCGCATCAGAGCGTAGGTCGCACCAGAGCATAAGTCGCACTAGAGCATAAGTCGCACCAAAGTATAAGTCGCACCAGAGCATAGGTCGCACCAGAGCATAAGTCGCACCAGAGCATAAGTCGCACCAGAGTATAAGTCGCACTAGAGCATAAGTCACACCAGAGTATAAGTCGCACCAGAGTATAAGTCGCACTAGAGCATAAGTCGCACCAGAGCATAAGTCGCACTAGAGCATAAGTCGCACCAGAGTATAAGTCGCACTAGAGCATAAGTCGCACCAGAGCATAAGTCACACCAGAGTATAAGTCGCACCAGAGTATAAGTCGCACTAGAGCATAAGTCGCACCAAAGTATAAGTCGCACTAGAGCATAAGTCGCACCAGAGTATAGGTCACACCAGAGCATAAGTCGCACCAGAGCATAAGTCGCAGCACAGTGGCGCCACTCCATGGACACAAACACCATCCAAACTTTTCCCGCAGTGGTTACGATTTCATTCGGCTTTAAAATTGGAACAAACCAAACACTTACTTAAGAATTAAACATATTTTTAAAGCGGAATTCATTTTTATTCATAATTGCAGCTGTCATGTAAACGTGGCGGGTGTGTGTCAGATGCCCTCCCCTCCGCTCGCTGTGGACAAACACAAACAAACTGCCTCCAGGTCAAACTGCAGCTGGTAAAGGTCAAAAGGGCAAAGGTTAAGGAGAAGCACAGACGCCATTTTAACTGAGGGGAAGATTATGTTATGTTAGACAGGACTAAACCAGGACTAAACCAGGACCAAGACCAAAACCAGAACCAAAACAGGGACTAAACCAGGACTATCCAGTTAAATTCTTAAATCCATTTTCAATTAAAATGTTACAGAGATATTTTCTCTTAATGAGCTCTGATTTAGTCCTAAAACCAGAACACTGTTAGAAAGAGTCACTTCCTTAGTCCTGGTTTAGTCCTGGTTTAGTCCTGGTTCAGTCCAGGTTTAGTCCTGGTTTAGTCCTGGTTCAGTCCTGGTTCAGTCCTGGTTCAGAGTGAGAACTAACAGGTGCATATTTGATTCTTCTAACAGAAACAGAAGTGTTTGTGAGTCCAAAGGTTCAAGAAGCTCCGACCCTCTCTTCTCTTCTCTTCTCTTCTCCTCCTCTTCATCTTCTCTTTCATCACATTCATAAATATTTTCTTTCTCTTTGTTCTTCCTCTTGGCCTCAAGTTTTCTGTAGCTCAACCCTCAGCGTCTCCACATCCTCTGAACCACTGTCCTCCTCTCTACCCTCTCTTTTTCTTCTTCTGTACCTTCTCTTCCTTCTCTCTCCTCTTCTCCTCCTCTGTATCCTTTCTTTCTCCTCCTCTCTTCCTCCTCTCTCTCTTCTTCCTCTGTACCCTCTCCTCCTCCTCTCTCCTTTTCTGTACTCTCTTCTCCTCCTCTGTATCCTTTCTTTCTCCTGTTCTCCTCGTCCTCTCCTCTGTACCTTCTCTTCCTCCTTTCCTCATCCTCTTCTCCTCCTCTCTTTCTGTACTCTCTCTTCCTCCTCTGTAACCTCTCTTTTTCTTCTTCTTTACCCTCTCTTCTTCTTCCTCTTCTCCTCCTCCCCGTCTGTACCCTCTCTTCCTCTCTTTCCTCTCTTCCCCCACCTGTCTCTCTCTCATTCCTCTCTTTTGTGTTTTGTCTCTTTTGTATTTTTGATCCGTTCATTCCTCTCTTTCCTCTTCCTCCTCTCTTCTTCCTCCTCCTTTCTTTCCTCTCTTTCGTGTCTTGTCTCTTTTGTCTTGTTGCTCTGTTGGTTCCTCTCTACCTCCTCTCTCCCTTCTCTCTCTTTCCTCTTTTTCCTCTCGTCCTCCTCTTATCTCCTGTCCTCCTCCTCTCTCTCTTTCCTCTCTTCCTCCTCCTCTCATCTCTCTCTCTTTCCTCTCATCTCTCTCTCTCTCTTTCCTCTCTTTCGTGTCTTGTCTCTTTTGTCTCGTTGCTCCGCTGGTTCAGTAAATTGTTTCAGATTAAATTAGAATCGTTGTTGAGCAGAATCGTCTGTCGTCATTGTCTGAAAAGAACATTTAATAAAAACACCGAGGCCAAACTCTCGTTATCGACTTTACGTGGCGTGTCAGATGCCCTCCCGCCCCGTGTGTCAGATGCCCTCCCCGTGTGTCAGATGCCCTCCCCGTGTGTCAGATGCCCTCCCGTCTGAAATACGTGGAAATATTTGTAAAGAAAAGTTAAAAGTTCCATATTCAACTCTTTTCTGATGTTCTGAAGTCGTTTCCTCGTCACAAACAGACCTGTGCTTGTGTTTCGTCTCTGAAAACACTCCGTTCCACCTTGTGACGTCATCATGTGGTGATACAGGAAGCGCTCCGCTGCGTTTTTAAACTCACCTCTTGTGTATTTATGTCTGTAGATGTGATAAATGCGAAGAATCTGAGCTCATTTGGAACAAACACAAACACCGGGGACCTACGGAAGCCGAGAGGGGCCACGACGAACGCAAACGCCGCGACGAATACAAACGCGACGGCACGACAAAAAGCCACAACACGCCAAGAAAAGCCACAACAGAAGTGAGCGCGGGACTTATTTTAATACAAACGCTGTAATAAATACAAACGCCACAACACAAACGCAAATGTCACAAACACATTAAAAAGCCACAACAGATGTGACCGCGGGACTCTATTTTCCGACGGACCGATCAAGCGGCAAGTGAAGAAGAAGAACTACAACGTGAAAAGTAAATGAACGGAGAAGTTGGAAACATAAGTAAAAGTAGTTTATTGTTTTATCACTATTCGTTTCATGTTGTAGTTCTTCTTCTTCACTTGTCGCTTGATCGGTCCGTCGGAAAATAGAGTCCCGCGGTCACTTCTGTTGTGGCTTTTTGGTGTGTGTTGTGGCTTTTTTGTGTTGATGTGTTTGGCTTTGTTGTTTGTGTGTTTGTGGTTTTTTTTTTTTGTGTTTGTGTTTTTTTTGTTGTGTTTTTTTTTTGTTGTGTTTTTTTTTGTTGTGTTGTGGCTTTTTTTGTTTGTTGTGTTGTGGCTTTTTTTTGGTGTGTTGTGTTTTTTTTTTTGGGGTGGACTACACCAGGACTGGACCAGGACTAAACCAGGACTACACCAGGACTAAACCAGGACTGATCCAGTGTCATTAGTGGAGTATAAATATAAACTCGCTCCAGTCGTCGAGTCGATTTCCTCCGCTGATGTTTTACGTCATAAAAACTCTAAAGTCTCTCAGTCTGGTCTGACATTGTTTTGGGAAAAGACCAGGACCGGGCTCTTGTTTCCAGGGCAACGGACGCACGTCAAGTATTTTTCTCCGGTCGGTGGCGTCTGAACTCGGATGCAAAGGCTCCAAATCTCGCGTCTCGGGCGTTTTGTGACGCTCTGGTGTGAACGGACTTTTACGGATCCTTTTATTGCTGCTTCAGTGACACAAACCTTCACTAGAATCACCTGGAACTGCCAATCTCTAATTTAAAAACCACCTCTCCATGACATCACAAGGTGGAACAGAGCGTTTAGAGCTTTGGAGATGTGGACAGACGAATGTGTGAATGAAACAAAACTCAACTCCAGCTCCGTTTTTGACGAGGAAACAACATCAGAACACGACTTAAAGCTCACAAGAGTCAGTTTGGCTTCATCTGGGACCTTTAAAGCTGCACTACGTAACCTTTCTTTTTTCTAACCGCCCGTTTCCATGGAGATATTAGTGCTTTAGATGGAGTATTCCACAGTACGGCATTAAACTTATCCATTTTCACGGCGACAAAGACGTGACGAGAACATTTACAGCGATTTAAAAACACCTCAAACCGAATCATGGACACGTTTAATGCCACACTGCGGGATATTTCAGGGGAAGGGAAGATTGCTCCACGGAAACGAGCGCGGGGAAAGTTACTCAGCGCAGCTTCAAACCTCAGAACGTTCAGAAAGTCTCGACTACGTGTTGAAAAATCCCGGGGAAACCAGCGGCTAAAAGCTCTACACCAGTTTAGCTCAGATGCCCCGCCAGCGCCGACTCAGCAGGATCAAGGGGGTTAAAGGGGAAAAAGGGAAAAAAGGGGAAAAGGGACGTCACACGGACTCATGGAAACTCACGTGTTTTTCTGAGCGGAGCCACATCTGAAACAAACACCACGAGTGAAACACAAACGAGCAAAAACACAAACGCACAAATCTCAACGTGCAGCGGGAAAAAAACACACAAACAAACAAAAACAACAGGGAAAACTACAAGAAAACTCAGGAATTTACCGGAAAACTCAAGAGAGAAACCTGCAGATGGAGAGAGATCAGAAGTGTTGTTTTTTAAAGTGAATAAAGTAGAATAAAGGTGGAAAATAAAAGTACAAACAGAAATAGTTTTGATTCTGGGAGGAAGAGTTTAACTGTGAGAATCTGTGTCGTTTGTTTTTCAAAATAAAACCAAAAAAAAAATAAAAGAAAAACTAATATTTTCTTCATTATTTGTCTCCAAAACCAAAATGAAAAAAAAAAAAAAAAACAGATAATGATTTGTTTTTTCATTTTCCGAGTTTGTAAACCAGGACTTTAAAATCTAAAAACTAAACCAGGAAAAAAAACCAGGACTAAACCAGGACTAAACCAGGTCTAAAAACTAAACCAGGACTCTAAACCAGGACTAAACCAGGAACTAAACCAGAACTAAACCAGGACTAAACCAGGACTAAACCACTAAACCAGAACTAAAACCAGGACTAAACCAGTCTAAACCAGAACTAAACCAGAACTAAACCAGGACTAAACCAGACTAAAAACTAAACCAGGACTAAACCAGGACTAAACCAGGTCTAAAACCAGGTCTAAACCAGGTCTAAACCAGGTCTAAACCAGGACTAAACCAGGACTAAAACCAGGAACTAAACCAGGACTGTCTAAACCAGAACTAAACCAGGACTACTAAAACCAGGACTAAACCAGAACTAAACCAGAACTAAACCAAGACTCTAAACCAGGACTAAACCACTACTAAACCAGGACTAACTAAACCAGAACTAAACCAGGACTAAACCAGAACTAAACCAGGACTAAACCAGACTAAACCAGAACTAAACCAGGAACTAAACCAGGACTAAACCAGAACTAAACCAGGACTAAACCAGAACTAAACCAGGAACTAAAACCAGAAACTAAACCAGGACTAACTACTAAACCAGAACTAAACCAGAACTAAACCAGGACTAAACCAGAACTAAAACCAGGACTCAAACTAAACCAGAACTAAACCAGGACTAAACCAGAACTAAACCAGGACTAAACCCTAAACCAGAACTAAACCAGAACTAAAACCAGGACTAAACCAGAACTAAACCAGAACTAAACCAGGACTAAACCAGAACTAAACCAGGACTAAACCAGGACTAAATCAGGACTAAATCAGGACAGGAGTGATCTTGACAGTTCTAGTTTCCGTTGGTGTTGTGTTTTTTTACCGTAGTCAGTGACGGACTTGGGCGCTCGCTGCTCTGCGTCTGTGTTTCGTTTCTTGTTCTTGGATTTCCAGGCGTGATAAACTTTGAGCCTCCGGTGGAACTCGAGAAACGTACGAGAAACTGAGACAACGAGAAAACGAGACAGACAGACGAGAAACGTCGATGTGAGAAACGTGAAAGACGAGAAACAAGAAAAACAACGAAAAGAAGAAAGAGACGAGAAACGTGAAAGAGAAAAAACAACACAGAAAAGAAAAACGTGAGACGAGAAACGTGAGAAACGTGAGAAAAACACGAGAAACAGAAAAAAGACGAGAAACGTGAGAAAAACACAGACAAAAAGACGAGAAACGTGAGAAAAACACCAACGAAAAGACGAGAAACGTGAGAAAGAAAAACGTGAGAAAAACGAGAAACGTGAGAAAAACACCAACGAAAAACGAGAAAAACGAGAAAAGACGAGAAACGTGAGAAAAAGACGAGAAACGTGAGAAACAGAAAAACGAAAAGACGAGAGAAAAGACGAGAAACGTGAGAGAGAACGAAAACGTGAGAAGAAAACGTGAGAAACGAAAAGATGAGAAACGTGAGAAAAACACAGACAAAAAGACGAGAAACGTGAGAAAAACACAGACAAAAAGACGAGAAACGTGAGAAAAACACCAACGAAAAGACGAGAAACGTGAGAAAAACACAACGAAAAGACGAGAAACGTGAGAAAAACACCAACGAAAAGACGAGAAACGTGAGAAAAACACCAGAAAAGACGAGAAACGAAAAAAGACAAAGAAAAGACGAGAAACGTGAGAAAAACACAACAAAAAGACGAGAAACGAGAGAAAAGACGAGAAACGTGAGAAAAACACAGAAGAAAAGACGAGAAACGTGAGAAAAAAACAGACAAAAAGACGAGAAACGTGAGAAAAACACAACGAAAAGACGAGAAACGTGAGAAAAACGTCAACGAAAAGACGAGAAACGTGAGAAAAACAACGAAAAGACGAGAAACGTGAGAAAAAAACGAAAAGACGAGAAACGTGAGAAAAGACGAGAAACGTGAGAAAAACACAGAAAAAAAGACGAGAAACGTGAGAAAAACAACGACAGAAAAACGAGAAAAACGTGAGAAAAAACAGAGAAAAGACGAGAAACGTGAGAAAAACACCAACGAAGAGATGAGAAATGATTTTAAAAACAACCAGGAGAGTCACAGAGGAGGAGGAGGTTCAGAAGATCACCTCTGTTTGGTTTTTTCTCACACTGTGGAATCTCTCACTTTCAGTTTCACAGTTTGCCTGATGTTAAAGCTGCACTGTGTAACTTTTCTGGTGAAGAGTCTGTCAAATACTTTTCTGGATGTTTCTGTATTTGTTTGGAATCCGTGTGTCATTTGTTCATTCGTTTTTCAAAATAAAACCAAAAATAAGAACGTTTCCCGTTTACGTGACGTCCGTGACTTTTGCACCGCATACGGACTGAACCAGGACTGATCCAGGTCCGGGACCAGACCAGACCGGGACCAGAGCAGGACTGAGACTGAGACCAGACCGAGACTGAGACCAGACCAGGACCAAACCGGGACCAGACTGGGACCAGACCGGGACTAGACCAGAACCAGAGCGGGACCAGAGACCGGGACTAGACCAAGACCAGAGTGGGACCAGACCGGGACTAGATCGAGATTGAGACCAGACCGAGACTGAGACCAGACCGGGACCAGGCTGGGACAAGACCGGGACTCAGACCGGGACTGAGACCGAGACCGAGACCAGACTGGGACCAGGCTGGGACAAGACTGAGACTCAGACCGGGACTGAGACTGAGACCAGACTGGGACCAGAGCGGGACTGAGACTGAGACCAGACCAGGACCAGGCTGGGACCAGACCGAGACTCAGACCGGGACTGAGACTGAGACCAGACTGGGATCAGACCGGAGGCTCAGAGACCACGTCAGGGCCGGAGCTCAAAGTTGAGACTCGGACCCTGCGGAGGCTCAGAGTCAAAGTCCGGTCTGGTCCTGGACCTGGATCAGTCCTGGTTCAGTCCAGCATCTCTGTCACTGAAGTCACGTCAACAAGAAACGGTCCTTATCCATTTTTTCATTTTGGTTTTGGAGACAAATAATGAAGAAAACTGTTATTTTTTCGTTTTCTTATTTTTGGTTTTATTTTGAAAAACGAATGAACGAACGACACTCGGATTGTTTGGAATTAAATCTTTCTATTTTCATGGAGAATTCCTGTTTTTTTTTAGGGATTTTCTGAGCTCTAAAATCAGCTGTAATTGAATAAAAGTAAAGTTGAACTGTTTAAAGTCACACCGCGGAACATTCCAGACAAAGGAATGACATGCTGTATCCATAGAAACAAGCAGGTAACAGAAACCCCCACCAAAAAGTTACACAGTGCAGCTTTAATCTTAGAACTAAAATAAAGAAACGGCTCGAGGTTTTGTTGATTTGTTTTCTTGGTAATAAATCAGAAAATAATATTTGTTTCTGTTGAAATATTAAAATATGTCAGAGCTGCATTATTATTCATTTTCATACATTATATTTGTAAAAATGATTTATGTTTATGAGTCATGTGACCTTTTACTTTGTCCCTGAAGTAAACAAAGAGCGAGAAACAGAAGCGGCGAAAGAGAGAAAAAGACGACTGAGAGAAACGCAAAAAAAGTGTAAAGAAAAGACGTCAAACTTAAAAGAAATGCTCCTTAACGAGCGCTGGTGATTTAAAGGTGAAAACTCGTGTCGTAGTTTGAGTCTTGGTCAAATCTCGAGACAAAAGAGACAAGAAAAAACAGCAGCAAAACAAAAACGCTCACCTCATGTTTCTCGTCTCTTGTCACAGATGTGATCAAAAACCTAAAACCTGCCGTGGGCGTCTCCGTGTTTGTTGATCTGTTGTTCTATTTCTTTGTTTTGGTCAATTGTCAGATTGATTTTTAGCGCCCTCTAGTGATCATGGTCAACAACCCGCGGCTCCAGAGCCACATGTGGCTCTTTCATCTTCTGTTGTGGCTCTTGTGACTTTGGAAAATAAATAACGAGTCTTTAATTACAGTGTATTTTTATTTTAGTTTGATAGTTTTTAAATGTAATTCTAAATTTGTAAATAATTTGAATCTTGTAACATTAAAATAAATCCCGCCACAGTCGCCGCTCAGGCTCCACGGCGCCGCTCAGGCTGAGGGGCGACGGCTCACGGCTCACGCAGTCGCCCGGGTCTTTCTGTGTGGAGTTTACATGTTTCTCCTCGTGTCTGGATGAGTTTTACTTCAGGTCCTCTGGTCTCCAGAACAGCTACAGTCAAGGTCAGTGAAATCAAATCGATCACTGAATCTGCCCAGAGACGAGGTGGAAATAAACTCTGATGTTACAACCTGACGTCCAAACATGTTTCCTGTTCACGTTCATGTCAACTCTGCTCTGTCCTCGTCTCATTACATAAAGAAAAAAACACTTAAAATATTTTTGTTGCTCAAAATATGCGTCACACCTGCCGATGTGCGACACCTGCACAGATCTGGTCAGACATGTCAAACTCAGGCCCAGGGGCCAAATTTGGTCCGTGATATAATTATATTTGTCCTGTGAGATCAAATCAAATCTGTATTAGATTTGATTTGTTCACCGGCTACAGATCGACTATAGAGACATGATTTATTTTAAAAGTTGTTATTATTTCATATTCTGTTTGTTCTGGATTTAATGTTTAAACTAAATTATTATTAAACATTTATTTTAATAAGAAAAGGTTTAATATTACAGATCTTGAAAGAAGAGAAAACATGCAGATGTTGGTGACATTTTTCAATAAATATTTAGTTTGACTCACGACTAAACGTCCCAGTTTAAAATGTTTTGACTCCTGTGGCAGGTAAATGAAGATTAAATCCAAGAAAAGAAAAGTTTTTGAAGAAAACAGAACGTTTAATGTCACGTGGGCAGATTTATTTTTACGGCCGATGAGACTTTGGTTTTACACAACATAAAATAATGATGGACACAGAAGCAGACGGTGTTTTTGATTCTCGACTGAAGACATGTGCGGCGGGTGAGTGTAAAGCCACACTGCGGAACATTCCGGAGTGAGGCCGCAGTACCGGGACTCACCACAGGAGGTGTTGATGGCGTCGCGGAGCTCGGCGTATTTCCATTTGCTCAGCTCGTGCTTCTTGGTCCCGGCGGCGGCTTTGGAGGCTTGGACGGCCGGACCTCTGCGAGAAAACACCAGAAAAAAACAAAAAAACAAAAAAAAAAAACAAGAAAACAGGAGATCAGAAACAGATGAAGAGTGAAACACGTGACTTTGGATTGGTTGAAAATCGTGTTAATCGGGTTCAGGATGAGGACAGGAGTCGACCACAGCAGGAAAACAACAAGATTAAAAAAGAAACAGACAGAACTGACACTTTGCCTCTGACGTCGTCCTCGTTCTCTGGGGGTGAGACGCTAACTGTGGGCACTGCTCTGTCTCAAACTCTCGCACACTTTAACGATTTTAAACTTTAATCACGGGAAAATGAAAACACGCTTTTTAAATCTTTACATTTTGTGCATTTACTTGCGTTTTCAGATCTAAAAACGTATCGGGCGGTGTTCGGTAACTGCTAAACATTCCGCCGTAGACACACATGTAGAACAGCCCCAGCGTGACGTCACCGCAAAGGATCAGCTGAAGGTTTTAAGGGTTTAGTTTTTGTCGTTTTAAAGAAAAATTGAGACAAAATATTTCAGTTTGTGAAATTTTTGGAAGTGTAGAGACAGGAAAGGAGACGAGGAGGCAGGAAAGGAGACAGGAAAGGAGGCGAGGAGGCAGGAAAGGAGGCAGGAAAGGAGGCGAGGAGGCAGGAAAGGAGGCAGGAAAGGAGGCGAGGAGGCAGGAAAGGAGATAGAAAAGGAGGAGAAGAGACAGGAAAGAAGATGAGGAGACAGGAAAGAAGACGAGGAGACAGGAAAGGAGACGAGGAGACAGGAAAGGAGACGAGGAGACAGGAAAGAAGACAAGGAGACAGGAAAGGAGACGAGGAGACACGAAAGAAGACAAGGAGACAAGAAAGGAGACAGGAAAGAAGACAAGGAGACAGGAAAGAAGACGAGGAGACAGGAAGGAGACGAGGAGACAGGAAGGAGACGAGGAGACAGGAAAGAAGACGAGGAGACAGGAAAGGAGACGAGGAGACAGAAAGAAGACAAGGAGACAGGAAAGGAGACAAGGAGACAGGAGACAGACAAGGAGACAGGAAAGGAGACGAGGAGACAGGAAAGAAGACGAGGAGACAGGAAAGGAGACGAGGAGACAGGAAAGAAGACGAGGAGACAGGAAAGAAGACGAGGAGACAGGAAAGGAGACGAGGAGACAGGAAAGAAGACAAGGAGACAGGAAAGGAGACAAGGAGACAGGAAAGGAGACGAGGAGACACGAAAGAAGACAAGGAGACAAGAAAGGAGACAGGAAAGAAGAAAAGGAATAAAGACGAGGAGACAGGAAAGAAGACGAGGAGACAGGAAAGGAGACGAGGAGACAGGAAAGAAGACGAGGAGACAGGAAAGGAGACGAGGAGACAGGAAAGGAGACGAGGAGACAGAAAAGAAGACAAGGAGACAGGAAAGAAGACAAAAAAGGAAACGAGGAGGCAGGAAAAGAGACGAGGAGAGAGGAGACGAGGAGTTAAGGACAGAAGAAAAAAGAATTTAAATTTTTTTAAAGAAAAATTTAGACAAAATATTCGAGTCTGTGAAATTTTTGGAAGTGAAAGTTCGAGCGTTTCTGATTGGACGAACTTTGTGATGTTTTTTTTTTTTTTCAGATTTGTGTGAAATTCTGAAGATTTCGTGGGATTTTTGAAAAGTTTTTGCTCTGATTTATGATTTCCCGGGCGGCAGAAACGCTCCGAGGATCCGTCCGTCTGATGGAAAAACAGTTTAGCCCAAAGGAGAAGAAAAGAGAAGAAAAGAAAAGAGAGAAGGATGAAGGACGAGGGAGAAACGAGGAGAGAAGGAAGGATGAGGGATGAGGAGAGATGGAAAAGAAGGAGACGGAAAGAGAGAGAGAGAGAAAGGGAGAGAGAGAAAGAGAAAGAAAGAGAATCGGGGAAAGGGAGATGGATACAGAAAGGGAGAGAGAGAGAAAGGAGATAAAGAGAGAGAGAAAAGGAGATAGAGAAAGAGAGAGAGAAAGAGAAGAAGAGAGAGAAATAGAGAAGCAAAGAAGAAAGAAGGGAGATAGAGAAAGACAGAAAGAGAAATAGAAAAAAGAGAGAAAGGGAGATAGATGGATAACAAGAGAGAGAGAGAAAGGGAGAAAGGGAGGGAGGAGTAGGAGGAAGAAGTGATGTTCTGAAGAAATAAAATAAATGAGGAAATAAAAGGGATGAATCGTGTGGAGCTTCAGATAAAAGATGAACTTTTAAAAAGTTGTGACCCTGTTCCTCAGGAGGAAACAACTTCCTCTCCTCCTTTACTCCCTCTCTCCTCTCTCCTCCTCTCCTCTCCTCCCCTCCCTCTCTCCTTTCCTTTGCTCCTTCTCTCCTCCTCTGACCTTATTCTCTGCTCCCTCTATCCTCTCTTCCTTCTCTCCTCTGTTCTTCTCCTCCTCTCCTCCACTCCCTCTATTCTCTCCTCTCTCTCTCCTCTATTCTTCTAATCCCTCTCTCTCCTCTCCTCATTCTCTACTCCCTCTCCCCTCCCTCTCTTCTCTCCTCTGCTTCCTCTCTACTCTCATCCTTCTCTCTCCCTCTCTCCTCTCGTCTTTCTCTCTTCTGCTCCCACCCTCTCTCCTCTTTCTCTCCTTTCCTCTGCTCTCTTCTCTCCTCTCCTCGAAGAGAGGAGACAGGAAAGGAGACAGGAAAGGAGACAAGAAAGAAGACGAGGAGACAGGAAAGAAGACGAGGAGACAGGAAAGAAGAAGGAGGCAGGAAAGGAGACGAAGACACAGGAGACAGGAAAGACAAGGAAGAGGAAAGAGACGAGAATGGGAAGGAGACGAGGACACAGGAAAGGAGACAGGAAAGAAGACAAGGATTACAGGAAAGGAGATAGGAAAGAAGACGAGGACACAGGAAAGAAGATGAGGAGACAGGAAAGGAGACAAGGAGATAGGAAAGGAGACGAGGAGACACGAAAGGAGACAAGGAGACAGGAAAATAGACGAGGAGGCAGGAAAGGAGACGAGGAGACAGGAAAGGAAATAGGAAAGACGACAAGGACACAGGACAGGAGAAAAGGAGAGAGGAGACGAGGAGTTAGGACAGAAGGAGGTAAAGTCTCGTCGTCGTTGTCGTTGACGACGGCTTCGATCTGTGGAGGTGAGAGGCGGACGCTCTAATCTGATTGGACGCTGGTGAGTGGGAGGCGGGGCCACCGTGGGACGCTCTAATCTGATTGGACGGAGTCAGGATTGGATTTGAGGTCATTATGTGTCAATCACAGAGTGGAGGGGAAGAGAAAACTAAAGTTTCAGAAAAGTGGTGAAAATAAAGTTGTGAAGCATTTATACTGGGGCCGGGCAAAAAGAAATAATTAATCGTGATTAATTGTGATTAATCGTGATTAAACATGTTACACGCAAAACCAATTCATGAATTAAAAAGTAGCGTATAGTGACTTTTACTGGAAATGTAAATGAAAGAGTTAAACATTTGTGGTGTGAACAGTGTTTGAGTTGAACCTCAGAGACTTAAAGGTTTTCTGAAGGCTCAAGAAAAATAAATTAATGGACTTTTGTACTACTAATATATTTTTTAAATATTTTTTATTCAGTGAGTAATAAACACGACACTAGTGATAATTTCTAGATCATTGTTTTAAACTTGGACTGATATTTCTTGGGAAACAAAGAGTTAATATAACAGTTTTTCTTCCAGTTGTATCTGGGTAAATCAGTGGCTCCTCCTGCAGCGCTGAACTAAACAAACAAGCTCAGCTCAGAGCCGCGGCTCGCGGCGGCTCAGACACGTTGCATCTCACGTGGTCAGAAAAAAAGTGAAAAAAGTGTAAAGAAAAGCTCGCGGTGGACTTTTTCAAAATAAAAGCCTGTGAGCAACAAACGTTTACAATAAAATAAATAAATAATAAAAACTGTGTTAACGGCGTTAAAATAATCGTCTGCGTTAATAATAGAGACGGGCATTCGATGAAATTTTCTTAATCGATCGTTGGAAGAATTAACAATCGATTATCGATTAATCGAACGAGTGGTGTTGTTGTGTGTACAGTGTTGGTTCACACTAGTGTGTATGTGAGTGGTGTTGTTGTGTGTACAGTGTTGGTTCACACTAGTGTGTATGTGAGTGGTGTTGTTGTGTGTACAGTGTTGTTCACACTAGTGTGTATGTGAGTGGTGTTGTTGTGTGTACAGTGTTGGTTCACACTAGTGTGTATGTGAGTGGTGTTGTGTGTACAGTGTTGTTCACACTAGTGTGTATGTGAGTGGTGTTGTTGTGTGTACAGTGTTGGTTCACACTAGTGTGTATGTGAGTGGTGTTGTTGTGTGTACAGTGTTGGTTCACACTAGTGTGTATGTGAGTGGTGTTGTTGTGTGTACAGTGTTGGTTCACACTAGTGTGTATGTGAGTGGTGTTGTTGTGTGTACAGTGTTGGTTCACACTAGTGTGTATGTGAGTGGTGTTGTTGGAGTTCATGTTGGTCCAGATGTGACGGGGACTGTGGGACTCCTGAAAACTCTGATACTCTGATGTGTGTCTGTCACCGCCAAAACGCTCAGAGGCGAGAACATCTGTCCATTCATATAAACATGTGTCCAGTGTTGGGGAGTAACAGATTACATGTACCAGAGTGAAGTAATCAGAGTACAAATGATGAGTAACTGTATTCAGTTACAGTTACTGTTTCAGTGAGTGGTAATTGGATTACAGTTACTTTGTTGAAATAAATGGATTAAACCAGGACTTAAACCAGGAGGACTTAAACCAGGACTTAAACCAGGACTAAACCAGGACTAAACCAGGACTTTAAACCAGGACTTAAACCAGGACTAAACCAGGACTAAAACCAGGACTTAAACCAGGACTAAACCAGGACTAAAACCAGGACTAAACCAGGACGTTTGTGTTTTATTTTTGTGCTGCAAAAAGTTTTAAAAATAGTTGTTAGTTTTAGTTTTATTTAATTTTATTTTAATATTTGGTTTGTGCTGTTTTGTGCTGTGACTGTTTTCATTTGTGTGAGTTTATTTCTAAAATTATTAATTATTATTTTTGAGTAAATTATATGAAGTCATTTCCTCTCAGTTGACGACAGCGACTTCAACAAAACTCCACAAAACTAGAGAAGAAAAACGACCTGAGGCTGTGGAAAAGTCTGTGTTATTCTATAAAACATGAATCAAAAGTGAGTTACTAAAGACTGAAACATGCACCTGTGGAATTTAAAATCAAAAGTGAATTTTTTTGTGATTTTGATTTTAATTTTGATTTGATTTGGAGGCGGTCGTTTTCGCACCGAGCCAACAGTTCCGTCATTTCTTTGGCCATCTCCTCCCTGGAAACAGCAGCGCCGACAGAACAAAGAGTTTATATTTCAAACATTATTTAAAACTGAAATAAACAGGAGTTTTATAAAAGTGTAAATATTGAAGCTGAGCAGCAGAGACACGTACATGGTGAGACTCTTGAGCCGGGGGCCGGTCACTCTGTGGGAGTAATGTTACAGGATTATTAACACGGGATGAAACAGAAAATAAAACCGCTCTTTAAAAGTGCAGATGACAGGACTGAGTCTGGGTCTGGAGTCTGGGTCTGGAGTCTGGAGTCTGGAGTCTGGAGTCTGGGGTCTGGGGTCTGGGGTCTGGAGTCTGGGGTAAGGAGTGTGGAGTCTGGAGTCTGAATCTGGAGTCTGGAGTCTGAAGTCGGGAGTCGGAATCTGGAGTCGAAATCTGGAATCTGGAGTCTGAAGTCTGGAGTCTGGAGTCTGGAGTCTGGAATCTGGAATCTGGAGTCTGAAGTCAGAGTCTGAATTTGGAGTCTGGAGTCTGAAGTCGGAGTCTGGAGTCTGAATCTGGAGTCTGGAGTCTAGAGTCTAGAGTCTGGAGTCTGGAGTCTGGAGTCTGGAGTCAGAGTCCGGAGTCAGGAGTCGGAATCAGGAGTCGGGAGTCTGAATCTGGAGTGTGGAGTCTGGAGTCTGAAGTCTGGAGTCTGAATCTGAAGTCTGGAGTCTGAAGTCAGAGTCTGGAGTCGGAAGTCAGGAGTCGGAGTCTGGACTCGAAGTCTGGAGTCTGGAGTCGGGAGTCTGAATCTGGAGTCTGAAGTCTGAATCTGGAGTTTGGAATCTGGAGTCTAGCGTCTAGAGTCTACAGTCTGGAGCCTGAGTCTGGAGTCTGAATCTGGAGTCTAGAGTCAGAGTCTGGAGTCTGAATCTGGAATCTGGAGTCTGAAGTCTAAGTATGAATCTAGAGTCTGGAGACTGGAGTCTGGATTTGAGTCTGAATCTAGAGTCTGAATCTGAAATCTGAAGTCTAAATCTAAATCTGGAATCTGGAGTCTGAATCTTAATAATAAATTAAGTATTAATAATCTTAAGTATTCAGAAAAACTTTTTAGTAAAACCTGAAACGTGACGAGGTTTGAGTGAGTCGAGTCGTACCTGTCATGTGCACTTCAAACCGAGTCATTGTCATAATTTCATTGGATCATAAACGTGGAGATTAGAGCCAATCACAAGAGTTTATTTCACTGGATTTTGTTTTAAACTGATCCCAGAACAGCCTGAATTATTCAAACATTATCACCCAGAATCAGACGTTTTCGTGCTTTTCTTTCACACGTTTATTTATTCGTTAATTGGATTATAATCAGTCCGTTTTACATTTTTACAAATATAATTAAAGTGTGCAAATATTCAGACGTGATTGATTATTTCTGAGTGAAAATTTTAGAATTATTCGGCGGCGTTTTTGTTTTCGCCGCACAAAGGTGAAAATTATAATTATAGTTTTAATTTGATTTTGAGATTAGAAAAACGACAGAAAAACGAATCGCTGGTGCTTTGATTTGGATCTGGAGATGCTCTTTAAAGCCGCACTGTGGAACTTTTCTCCATGGAGGTGTTATGGGTTTACCCGGAATGTCCCACAGTGCGGCATTAAAGCTTCTGTGTTTGTACATTTGAGGCAGGAGACAAGAGGAAAGTCAGAGTCAGGTCGAGAGGGGGCGGGTTACGGGGGAGCAGGGGGGAGGGGCATGCGGCGGCGAAGGCGAAGGGGGCGGGGTTAGGGTCAGGATCAGGATCAGGATCAGAGGAGATTATTTTTTTTAAAGGAAAATTATTGAGGGTTAAAGTGTTTAAAATGTGAAACTTGTGGATCTTACGCTGCTCGCTCCGGAGACGACGGCACCGAAGAACCGTTACTGAAGGAAAACAGGACAAAACAAAACGATCGTAAACGTCCCGGAACAAACAAGAACCAAGAACCAGGAACGAGAAACCAAGAACTAGGAACCAAGAACCAAGAACAAGGATCTTAGAACCAAGAACCAGGAACCAAGAACAAGGATCTTAGAACCAGGAACTAGGAACCAAGAACTAGGAACCAAGAACCAGGAACCAAGAACCAGGAAAGAACCAAGAACCAAGAACAAGGATCTTAGAACCAGGAGCCAGGAACCAGGAACTAGGAACCAAGAACCAGGAACGAACCAAGAACCAGGAACCAAGAACCAGGAACCAGGAACTAGAATCTCAGAACCAGGATTTTAGAACCAGGAACCATGAAATGTCATTATCTGATTTGTCACATTTTTTCAAAGAGTTTGCCCAGATACTTCATTAAAAAAGTGATTTAAAAAAAAAAAAAAGAAGTGAAGCATCCAGGAACCATCATTACCTGATTTGTCACATTTTTAAAACTGAACATGCTCAGATACGTCAGTAAGAAAAACAAAAAGCAAACAACAAAAAAAATAAATAAAACCAGGTAATGACAAGAACCAGGAACTAAGAACCAGAAGCGAAAAAACAAGACCAAGAACCAGAACCAACTGTCACTACCTGATTTGTCACATTTTTCAAACTGAGCATGCTCAGATTAAACAAACAAACAAAACAAAAAACAAAAAAGTGACAATGACATAAACCTAGAACCAAGAACCAGAAACGAAGAACCAGGAACTGTCATTACATTTTTCAAACTGAGCATGCCCAGATACTTAAAAAAACAAACAAACAAACAAAAAAAAAAACCAAAAAAACATCAAATCAGGCAGTGAACCAGAAAGAACCAGGAACCAAAAACTCAGAATCAGAAACAAAGAACCAGGAACCTAGAACCAAGAACCAGGAAGTGTCACTACCTGATTTGTGTCACTTTTCACACTGAGCATGCCCAGATACAAACGTGACAAATCAGGTAACGACAAAACCCAGGAACCTAGAGCCAGAAGTAAAGCGTGAGGAGGAGGAGGATTATTCTGGTTCCCAAAAAGAGATGAGACAATCACACACACAAAAAAAAATCTCTCTGCATTTTTGAGTAGAAATAATGAGGCGTCTCTAAATGAATCTTCGTCGGGGCTAAACGAGCGGAAGTTCGTTTGGACACTTCATAATTAGAGGAAAAACGAACGATCCGAGGAGGACAAAGAAAAGTCAAAACATGAAACATCGTCTCCTGAACCGGACGAGGAGCGACTCTGATGAAACAAAACAGATTAAAAACAAACGCAGGTGCAGAATTTTTCCTTTTCCGACATCCGGCTGTGTATGGGAGCGTTAGATTTATGTACCTCCTCAGCCCTGTGTCACTTTTGAGTTTGGGTGTGCTTCATTTATGTACCTGTGTAGCCCTGTGTCTATACTGTGTTCACGTGTTTTTAGGTGTGTTTGTTTTGTTTACCTCCTCAGCCCTGTGTCTCTCTTGTGTGTTTTTTAGGTGCGTTTGTTCTGTGTACCTGCGTAGCCCTGCGTTTGTACTGTGTTGATGTGTTTTTTAGGTCTGTTTGTTTTATGTACCTCCTCAGCCCTGCGTCTTTCTTGTGTTTTTAGGTGCGTTTGTTTTGTGTATCTTCTTAGCCCTGTGTCATTCTTTTCTTTGGGTGTGTTAGTTTCACGTATCACCTCAACCCTGTGTGTTTAGGTGCGTTTGTTCTGTGTACCTTCTCGGCCCTGTGTCACTCTTCTGCTTGGGTGCGTTTTGTTTATGTACCTGCATAGCCCTGCGTCTGTATTGTGTTGACGTGTGTTTGTTTTGTTTACCTCCTCAGCCCTGTGTTTCATTTCAGTGCGTTATTGTGTTTGGGTGTGTTTGTTTTGCCCACCTTCTCTGCTGTATTTGTGTGCGTTAGTTTAATACACTTGCATCGCCCTGTGTCGCTCTTGTGTGCAGGTGTGTTTGTTTTGTTTAACTCCTCAGCCCTGTATTGTCCATTTAATGTCCTGCTGTCCTCTGGTGTTTGGGTACGTTTGTTTTGCTCACCCTATCGCTATATTTGGGTGCGTTGGTTTCGCGTACCTCCTCAGCCCTGCGTGTCTCTAATGTTTAGGTGCGTTAGTTTTGTTTATCTCCTCAGCCCTGTGTTTTTCTTGTGTTTTTAGGTGTGTTTGTTTCGTTTACCTCCTCAGCCCTGCGTCAGCGCTCTCCTCGGGGATGAGCTCCGCTTCGCTCTGGGCGATCCTCAGGGCGAGCTCTCGGTCTCGTTTCTCCTGCTCCAGAACGGCCTGACGCGCCGCCTCCTCCTCACGCTCCACCAACATCTGGGCCTCCATCTCCGCCTGCGGCCGAAACACACACGAGAAATTTTAAATTAAACTAAACTGGGCCTAATACTCCCTAACAGATAATACTCCCTACAACTGTACAACTCACTCTTCTGTCACAGATAATACTCCCTACTAGGACGGGCATTTGATGAAATTTTCTTAATCGATCGTCGGAAGAATTAACGATCGATTATCGATTAATCATTAACGTTTTTATATTAAAATGATCATCATTATTATTACTATCTGCACTAATCTGCATCAATAAATTCAACTTTACGACATATAAACATAACGACTCTAGATCCACATCAGCTGTTTGACATTATAATGTGTTTAATTCAGTTTTGTTCAAATCTCACAGAAACAAAACTTAAAACCACATCACTAATTTACATAAACTAAGTGAAGATAAAACTCCAGCTCTTGTGTCGCTGATGTGGTTCAACTTGTGTTGGATTAAAAGACATGACTCAGGTGAATACAGGTCAGTGTGACCAGATTTGTGTTTGTCAAAACCAGGACAGCGTACGGGGGGAGGGGGGCGGGGCCTCGTCATCCACATTGAGCGACTCTCACCTGGAAAAACTTTTTCCCACTGGACACAGAAACATATGTGCTGCTTTATCCACTGTGCACATGGACTCACACTTGTCCCAACGCAACGGAAAGTGTGGAATTTCTTCTACAAATCCTGGTTAAATCCACATTTGTGCTTCGGTTCGTTACAGACTGACCCACTGTTTGTGTCTCGCTCCTTCTGATGCAGAGACACATGTACACACCTGTTTGGTCACGACACACACACATACATTCAGTTTGTCCATTAAAATGAACGGAATCGATGAAATTCTTAATGATCAATTATCGATTAATCGATTAATCATGCCCATCCCTACTCCCTACAACTGTAACAGATAATACTCCCTACAACTGTAACAGAGAACTGTACAACAACTCAACTGTCGTTGTGTCCTTAGGCAAAGACACTTCACCCACATTGCCTAGTATGAAAGAGGTGTGTGTGTGTGTGTGTGTGTGTGTGTGTGTGTGTGTGTGTGTGTGTGTGTGTGTGTGTGTGGTCGGAGGGGCTGATGGTGCAGATTGGCAGCCTCACTTCCATCAGTCTGCCCCAGGGCAGCTGTGGCTACAGTAGTAGTTTACACACAGAGTGTGAAGTGACTGAAGAATGAAGTGTAAAGAGCTTTGGGATCTTGAAAGGCGAAGTATAAATGCAATCAATCAATCAATCAATCAACTCACCCTTATTATGTGACATATAATACTCCCTACAACTGTACAGCAGCAGGTACAGGGGTGATCAAAGTGGGCGGGGACAGGTGGGGGGGGGAGGTCGGTGAGTTTGTTTATTATTCTGTGTTTGTGTCGGTGAATCGATGACGGACGGAGGACGAGGTCAAAGAAGAGAAAGAAAAACTGCAGCGAAAGAACCGTGACGTCCTCCTGCCCCCCTGCCCCCCCCCCCCGTGTGTCAGATGCCCTCCCTCCCCTCCCCCGTGTGTGTGGGTCAGATTGTGTCAGATGCCCTCCCTCCCTCCTCCCCGTGTGTGTGTGGGTCAGATTGTGTCAGATGCCCTCCCTCCCTCCTCCCCGTGTGTGTGTGTGTGTCAGATTGTGTCAGATGCCCTCCCTCCCTCCTCCCCGTGTGTGTGTGTGTGTCAGATTGTGTCAGATGCCCTCCCTCCCTCCTCCCCGTGTGTGTGTGTGTCAGATTGTGTCAGATGCCCTCCCTCCCTCCTCCTCCCCGCGTGTGTGTGGGTCAGATTTCCTCTCTTCCTCTCGTCACCTGGAGAAAGTCTTGGGGGAGTAAAACCCGTCAGCGTTTGCGTCTCGTGGTCGTGGTGTTCGAAGCCCCGCCCCCTGCGTCTCCCGCGCCTCCTGTCGGGTTCGGGCTGCGCTCCTCTTCGTCAGGTCGTTAGAGTTCGTGTGTGTGTGTGTGTGTGTGTGTGTGTCGTGTGTGTGTGTGTGTGTGTGAGTGTGTGTGTGTGTGTGTGAGTGTGTGTGTGTGTGTGTGTGTTCATACATCAGCTCGGGCCGTTCGCTTGTTTCTCATTTTCGGAATAAAAGCGGAATAATGGAGGATTCCGAGGGCGGCGGAATTCTGCTCTTTTTTTTTTTCTCTCTCTCTCCGAGCCGCCGCCCGGAATATTAACAAGAGACGTACGTGATCGGAAAAACACACACGGAAGAAAGGAGGGAAAAAAAAAAAAAAAAAAGCTCCGGGGAAAGAAGAGAGAGAGAGAGAGAGAAAGAGAGGGACAGGAGAGAGAGAGAGAGAGAGAGAGTGAGGACGAGAGGAGTAAAGGATACAGAGAGAGAGAGAGAAAGGAGAGTTTGACCCAGAGAGGAGAGGAGTGTGTAGAGGTAGAGAGGGAGGACAAGAGGAGTGGAAGAGAGAAAGAGAGAGAGAGAGAGAGAGAGAGGAGAAGGAGGAGAGAAGACCCACAGAGATGAGAGGAGAGCGAGAGGAGGAGTGACCAGGAAAGGAAAGGAGTGTGTGGGGAAGAGAGGGAGGACAGGAGGAGTGGAGGATCAAGAGAGAGAGAGAGAGAGAGAGAGAAGATCAGACAGAGAGAGAGAGGAGAGGAGAGTTTGACCCAGGCAGGAGAAAAAAAGGAGGAGTAGAGAGGGAGGAAAAGAGTAGTGGAGGAGTGTGAGAGGGAGAGAAGGAAGACAAGAGAGAGAGAGAGAGAGAGAGAGAGAGAGAGAGAGAGAGAGAGAGAGAGAGAGAGGAGAGTGTTTGGAGAGGAGAGAGGAGAGGAGAGAGAGTTTGAGACGAGGTGTGACCAGGAGAGGAGAGGGAAGCATAGAGGAGAAAGGGAGAAGACTCAGAGAGCGAAAAGAGGAGAAGAGAGTTTGACCCGGAGAGGAGAGGAGAGAGAGAGAGAGAGAGAGAGAGAGAGAAGAGAGAGGAGGAGAGAGACGAGAGAGAGAGAGAGAGGAGAGAGAGGAGAGAGAGAGAGAGAGAGAGAGAGAGAGAGAGAGAGAGAGAGAGAGAGAGAGAGAGAGAGAGACAGAGAGAGGAGAGAGAGAGAGAGGGAGAGAGAGAGAGAGAGAGAGAAGAG